AGCCCATGAAACAATCGACACGACGAAGTGGCTACATTTAATTTTATGTCTCTAACATGTCACAGTGATACTTTGGAGTTCTGCTGACTTCTCAACAGTTGCAGCATGTCGCGGAGGGAGGACAACTTTCTGCGTCCAAAGAAGCAGGACAGATATGTTGGTTCATAGAAAAGGTGGAATGGGAGCGTTTGCCATGAAAATTGTGTTTGACCATTGCGGAAAACGAACACTTGCTGATGATCCGTATGATTTCACACCACCTAAACCTGTAAGTTTCCATTTTGCAGCCTTTCTGAGGAGACTACCAACAACGGTAGCTGAAACGATCCATTCCATCCAACCCACTCTGTGTCGACCTGCTTCGACCCATTCTAATGAATCCTAAGATAACAATCGTTGTGTTCGTGCCTCTGTCTTCCTTTGTCAGCGTGTACAGCCTTAAATGGAGGAATTGGTTATCATTCAGTTATCACTCATAATGAAATGCACTTTCGCACAACGCACGTCAATTTGACACTGTGATTTGCATTCCAAGGAGAAATCCTGCCAACCGAAGGTGTCACTGAAACAGCATGTTAGCGGTTGTAAAGTTGGCATAAAAACTATAAAATGGATTACAAAGAAGGATTAAGCAACTTCATCCACTACTAAAACAGTTGCTTGAGTGAAGTTTGTAGAAAACCAGTAAGCAATGAGAGCCAATGGCAAGGACGTCTACACAACCCCATTGAATGAAGACGAAGAGAAGGCATATAAGCATAAATTGAGAGAATTCTTCCAAAGAGCTGTCGAAGGTGCACATGTACACCATAAGGACGAAGGAGATGCCACCCATCCTGCATTCATTCATCCATCCACCAACTCGCCGTGACACTTCTTCGTGCATCAGTAGTAGTGCACACACCACGAATAGATTTCATAGAGTTGGGCTTGATGCTGCAGCTATTGAAGCACCGCCTTGCTTCGACACATGCCCTTCAGATGAGGAGAGGGTCCTATGAAAAAGCCTTTGAAGCCAAATGTGCCATATTTGACTTCGGTGGTTGTCGTGACAAGTTCCACCGGTACAAGTCCGTTGTGATCTGCAAATATACGTGCGCTAGCGCCGCCGGTTAGGACATAAAGATGAAAGACTCCCTTCACGTAAGGTAGTTACTCACTTTAAAGTTTGCCAGTACATGCCTTTTGGATTCCCCATGTAGAAAGCTTAACCGTAAGATGGAAACATAGTCTCCTTAGGTGGCCGTTTAGTATATTAGCGCTTTCACATTACCCACAACGTTAAGGCAACGAGGCAAAGTATGAGCTGGGCAGGAACATAATCACTATGCACTATTGTTAGCCATCAAGGTGGTCGATTTGGCCAAAGGTTCTGTAGACACAATGCCTTCTCTAACGATTGAAGGAAAGCCTCACCAATGGCTGCTGATCACATCCCTTCCTTTCCCCCTTCCTTCTTTCACCAACTCATTCTTTTGTGCCTACTAGTAATCGAGAACTCGTTCCTTCGCTTACTCTTTCCTCCGGCTGTCCATCCAAATACATGATCATCCATACAGGTCATACATTATAAGCCCTGCTTCAACAATCAGGCCATAATTTCCTTCAACGTGCAGTACGTATTGCTATTCTTTAAAACAAAGCAAATGTCTAAGCAATGAATCGAGGCAGAATGTCCAAAATAAGTAAGGCCAACTGTATTTAAGCTTTTGATTTCTA